AATTGCTGTCGGTGGGAAGAATTTGCCATGTCAGAGGCATTGTGGATTATCAACTTGAAGTGTGGCCCTCCAGTAAATACGTTTGGCCTTGAAAGACACTCTTCTATGAATGATAAAGGTAAATAGGTTCTGCAGTTCTGCAGAAATAAAGCAATATACAAAAGTAAGAAGAGTTAAATCACCGAAATATAGGCAAAGTCTCCATTAGCCAAAAGCCTAAGTTATGAGGGGAAAAAACCTTTTAATCCTTCCAGGAAATTAATAAATTACATATGTTGGATTCAAGAATAGACCAAGGGGTTTCCTTTTACTCTATAACCGTACTGCAGTAAACCATTGTATAATTACAAATTATTATATTTCGTGAATTTTCACATTACATGTCAATGGGAGAATCCATATAAGATTAATAGATGGCATTATTTACTTTATAATTGATATTGTTTCCTATGTAGCAGTGGTAGTTTGAAACCAAGAGCCGCTCCTCAGGAGAAAGACGGGACTTTCTACTCTTGTCAATCGTTCGTCTTGGCTACTCACACACGGGCAGTTCTGCCTTGTCATAGAGCGCCGCTGAGTCAGTGTTCACTTGATGGCAGTGAGCTTTTCTTTTTTAATGGTATAAAACCTGATATAAGACGGTATATGAAATATAATGTCAGTTGTGTTGGTGCAATTTTTATATGGTGCATATATAGGTCTATAAAAGAGTAGGTTCAAAGATTTGCGAATTAACAACTCTGGATAGTATGATCAAGGATGATATTTACTTGCTTCATATTTTCCTGCTTTTCAAAAATTGTTCAGTGGAAAAAGGCAGAATAGCGATTTCATAGTTCTCATTGACATATGACCAGGGAACTGAGGGTGAAAAAAAGAAAAACCAGCCTGAAGGGTTGGCATTATGCTTCGTATGCCCTGTGTTCAAGGGTAAATGATTCCGCTCGGGCTGAGAGTGTCTAAATAGCAAATCAGAGTTTATAGGTCGCTCTTTGACTCTTCTGTAAATTATAAGAAAATAAAATCAAACTCATGGTCAAATTGAGTCATTTTGTGACTCCGGGAGACCCTATAGGGCAGGGTAGAACTGGCCCCTTAGGTTTACAAGACTGCAACTCTACCGGAGTAGAACGTCTCATCCTGGGCCCACAGAGTGGGAACCACTGGTGGTTTCCACCTGCTGACCTCGAGTTTCGCATCCAATGCGTGCTCTATAAATAAGCAGCAGAGACTTTTTAAGGGCCAGAAAAAGTAGGTGTATTATAAGAGTACTATTTAAAAAAAAGTCAATTCTTAATGTTCATACATAAGAGGAGTATCACTAACAGTGTTTTGAAAGAAAAATATACATCAGAAAACCAAACCAGTCTCAGTCATGCTACCCAGATGTGCTTCTTTTAAGATGCTCTTTTCTTGGCACATGAGTTAGAAAACAGGACACAGAATGTACTGAACCGTTTCTAATATTTCTTCTTTCAGGGAGTAGACCAGAGAATGACAAAGAGAACCTAGACTTGGAAAATTACAGGGACCAGGAACCTCCAGATGCCCCTTGTCCCATCTCAGAAGAGGTCCCTCCTCAGGCTTCCTTGAGTGGCTTCTTCAGTGAGGATGAGCCAAGGCACTTTGGAGAAGGAGAGCATCTCCCTGAGGCGCAGGCAAGCCTCCAGGCTGAGGGAAGAGGGGAGCAGCTCTCTCCTCGGGAAAGGAATTCTGGGAAACAGCTAGACCTGCATTTGCCTAATCCTCACCCAGGAGACCTGTCCATGCTGTGGCTTGAGGAAAAGGCAGAGGGCCCCCAGAAAGGCCAGCTGAGACCCGCCATGTCCCAGAAGCTCCCTACCTGTAGGGAGTGTGGGAAAACCTTTTACAGGAATTCTCAGCTTGTGTTTCACCAGAGAACTCACACCAGAGAGGCATACTTTCAGTGCCCCACCTGCCAAAGAACCTTTTTGCGGAGTTCGGACTTTGTGAAGCATCAGAGAAGCCACACGGGAGAGAAGCCTTGCAAATGCGATTACTGTGGCAAAGGCTTCAGCGACTTCTCTGGGCTGCGCCATCACGAGAAGATCCACACGGGAGAGAAGCCCTATAAATGTCCCGTCTGCGAGAAAAGCTTCATTCAGAGATCAAACTTTAATAGACATCAGCGGGTCCACACAGGAGAGAAGCCGTACAAGTGTTCTCACTGTGGGAAAAGTTTCAGCTGGAGCTCAAGCCTTGATAAACATCAAAGGTCCCACCTGGGGAAAAAACCCTTTCATTAGCTGTCCTCTTTTTTTGCCCATTCTCTCTCTCTTTCAGACCAATTAAACATGGGTAGGTTTGGGAATCATTTGAAGGAACTGCGCCTTGTATCCCTGGTCTCTTCTTTCATGTATCAGATGGATAACCTGCAGATGATTTTGTGCGTTGAGGGTAGATTGGGCTCCTGGCCGGGATTTCACGCCAGCGTCCTTTCCTGCTTGTGTGTCAGGAGAAGGAGTTGTCCTACTGTCTCAGCTCATCCCTGGGTTCAGGGCCATCTGTGGACCCCTTGCAGAGGAAAACTAGGAGAGCGAGTGTGAAGTATCACTCGGGCAGAGTTCCAGAGAGCAGCTGTAATTGCTGTCGGTGGGAAGAATTAAGAACAGCTCTTCAGAACTACGATCCCACACTTTATCTTCCTCACACAGGAAGCCCAGCCGATAGAGGACGGCAATTTTCACATGTGTTCTTGAACAGAGAGGTGAAAAATGAATTTGAATTGTACCTTGTTTTGAATAAACTTAAAGAGTCAGTGTCTTATTTGTGGCTGAAATGCTTACTCTCTTGACTATTACTCAAAATGCATTTCCTCATTTGTCTGGATTAGAAAGTTCTCACATGGTAGTTGAGCTCTGGGATGATCCTACACAGGCCAATCCCGGGTAGAAAAGCCCTAACAGTGATATGAGCATGCTCACTAAAGGCCCGATGGGAGAGCTTGCGCCCTGCTGCGCCCGGCTGTGCTTCGGGGTGGTTGTCTGTGGTCCTCACTTGCCGATTCCCCTCAATTGCCCGTTTTTCTTGAAATCTTAGATGACCAGTATTGCCAAAGTGCTCTGTGCTTTACGGTGATCTCACCTGATTTTGTCTCTAGATGTTAGGAGGAAATCAATAGGATTGATTTATAGACTGCCTAGGTGCTTATTTATATTTAAAAATCATTTTATTGGGGGCTCTTACAGATATCATCCGTAAATCAATTATATCAAGCAATTGTACATATGTTGCCATCGTCATTTTCAAAACATCTTTCTACTTGAGCCCTTATCAGCTCCTCTCTTATACCCCTCCCCCCCACCCTCACCCTCATGAACCCTTGATAAAGTCTATATTATTATTTTTCATATCTTAAACACTGCTGAATCCCTTCACCCACATTCCTGTTATCCCCCTTGGTGGGGTGGGGTGGGGTGGGGTCGGGTGGTGTTAATGCATCCATCATTACTATCGGTTCCCCTTTTCTCCCCCTGCCTCTACTTCTACCCTCATGGTATCCTATTCCCATTACTGTGCCTGAGGGGCTCATCTGTTTTGACTTCCTTGTGTTGAAAGCTCTTATCTGTACCGATGTACGTACTCCGATCTAGCAGGATTTGTGAAGTAAAATGGGTCATGAATAGCGGGGGCAGAGGAGGTGTGCATTAAGGAACCAGAGGAATGTTGTGTGTTTCGTCAGTGCTATACTGCACCCCGGATGGCTCATCCCTTCCTTGTGACCCTTCTGTGTCACAATGCCCACTTGTCTACAGATGGGCTTAGGGGCTCTACTCAGCCCTCCTTCACATCGATAGTAATTGTTTTTGATCTTCTGACCTGATCCTATGGTCACCTTGTGATCACACAGGCTGGTATGCTGATTCCTTGTGGGCTTTGTTGCTACTCTGATAGATGGCTACTTGCTTAACTTCATGCCTTTTAGGCCCCAGGTGCTATATCATTTAATATCCAGGCATCATCAGCTTTCTTCATATTTGCTTATGCACCCATCTTGTATTCAGCGATCATGTGGGGATGGTGAGTATCATGAAGTGCCAGGTTATTAGAAAAATAGTGTTTTTGTGTTGAGGGCAGACTTATGTAGAGGCCTAAAGTCTGTCTTCTATTAATTTAGATGTTTGCTTACAAACGTTTCTAGTCTGTACAAATGGCTGTCTTACAGAGTTGCATGCTGAAGTGTACTGTACTCGTGTAGTGAGACTTCCATGTGGTCCTCCTTGTGCTTGGCTGTACAGCATGGTTCTAGATAAGGATCTCAAAAGAGCTCATGAGGAAAACCGCTGTGTCTTGGAGCACAGGATGTACTGTAAATTCTATTTGATGTTGATCAGCAATGGGAATTGAGTTACTGGCTAATGGGAGAGAAGGAAAAACTGCGTTCTGTTCCGAGGGGGAGTCTGTTAACCTCTACAGCATGCAGATAAGGAAGAAGTCCCCACCTAAGGGAAAGTAGGAACCAACAGGCTGAAAAGAGCTGGCACTGAATTCTGTGTTCTGCAAAGGAAAGATTTGTAAGATTGTGAGATTTGATCGTTTAAATCAAGGTTTCTCAAATTGTGGTCTCCCGACCAGCAGCCTTTGAGATTTAATAGAAACACAGTACTAGAGAGACTTAGTGAGTCAGAAATTCTGAGAGGGGGCCCAGCCATCTTCCTCCCCCCCCCCCTTTCACTGTCCCTCAGCTCCTCTGTGAATGTGCTCAGCCTCAAGTTCTGTGCCCAGAAGAGGAGCCCCAATCTTTGTTTTAAGAAGCCCTCTGGGGCACTAAGATTCCTGCTCAAGTTTGAGAGCCAGAGCTCTAAGTGGTAATTGATTAAAAATGTTTCTGTAGGGATATGAGGGATAATGAGCCTGGAGGGAATACTGGGTCCTCCCAGGCATTTCCCAACGCACATGCCTCCCCATAGAGGTCTTTATAGCTCGTTAAAATTGTAGAGCCCGGTGGATTTGCGGTGAAAATATGTTTCTAGAAAAAAAAACCTTAAAACACTTGGGTTGAAAAGCTTTAGAAGAAAGACCTCTTTTGGGTCCCTCTTAAATGATCTCAAGGATGACAGATGAAGGGAGACCACCTGTGTCCTTCACGGCTGCATCCCCAGCAAATAGGTGTTGGGTAGATCAAACTTGATCGAAGGGAATATGAATTAGTGAAGGTTAAACATCACCTTTATGCTTCGCTCCAGTCCGTTAGAGCTGGTTTCAGTAAAATACGATCCACATATCTTGTAAATAAAACGTCATTGGAACATAGCCACCACACATTTGCTTAGTGTTTGTCTATCTGTGTGGGGGCTACAGGGGAGGAACGGAATAATCATCCAGAGAGTCTATGGCTGCATAGCTCAGAATTTGTGGACTCCTAGAGTTGTGCTTCTTGTAGAAGGCAAAGTGCACACAAAACAGCTGGGGAGCTGGTTCAAATGTAGGCTCTGATTCATGGAAGCTGTTGATGGAGTTGAGATCAGGGGACTAACCAGGAGTGGAACACTGGGCACAGCGCTTTGTGACAAGATTGGGCTTCAGGTGTTCGTGGCAGGTTTCTTTGAGTCTTCCTAAGATAGGTCTGACCGCACATTTCAAAGGCTGGACCAGACACAGTTGCAGAAAAAGATCACTTTATTAGCAAAGATTCAATATTCTGAAATCCTCTCCCGAGTCCCTGGACCCAGTTCTCTAGCTCTAGCACTCGTTGTCAGGCACTTCTCCGAGTTCCCCAGAGGGAATCTGCAGCATTGTGAGAGGCCAGTATTTTCCTACCTTTCTAAATATATGAGGTCAACCTTTAACTCATCTGTCTTAACAGCCTCCAGCCAGCCTCTCCTCTGGCTTCCTCGATGGCTCTGCAGGGAGCTAGATCTGAAGAAGCAAGGCTACTCCAGCTAGGACCCACTTGGATGGGGGCTCCTTCGTTTTCAGGTTGAAAGTCCACACATAGGTGGGTCCCCGCTGACAAGTCTTGTACAAAGGGCAGGGGTAGACACTTCGGCAGTCCTGCTTCTCCGCAGGGATGGCCTTGATGAACATCACAGGCATGGAGGGTGTCAGGTCCTTCAGCTTTGCCTCTGTAATGATTCCAGCCTGGGGACAACAAGGGAGGAGCCGTGTTAGACCAGACTCAGAACCCATCCATCCCTCTAGTCTTGCTGGTGTCTAGATCCAAGAGATGAGGGACTGGGAGCCTTGGCTGCCTTTGAACCTGCTTCCCTCTTCTGTGCTTTAGGCTCTGGTAACAACACACAATCTGGCATATGGAAAATGCAGCTCTATCTGTATCCAGCCGGCACCACTTGGAAGCAGAGTACCCAAAGTTTCCAGTTACCATATATGAGGGGCAGGGGTGGAGGTGGGGGTGGGTTGGCGGCATGCTGGGGTTGGTCTCAAAAAAATTGGGAGAAAAAAAGCCTTTTGAAGTCTACTTGCATAGATTTTTGGGTTGGCCTCCTGAGTTCTAGCTGATCAAACTACCTTGCTCTTGTGACAAGGCCTCATGTAGGTGGCTGCTTACTACTGCTGTTCTTTCTCTTCTTAGTCTATGTGTTGCATTTCCATAAAGATAATTTTCACCAAAACTGAAGACACCAGGGCTCCTTTCACCCTGGCTCTGTCTCTAGACTAAGGGGACCATACTGCTGGCCCCCATGAACTCACAAGTGTTAACAGTATTGAAGGCTCAATTTCATGTAATGGGAAGACTCCAAATGCAATAGAAAATTTGAAGATGGTTGATATTCTAGGAATTCACCTCAAGTTTTCACAACTCACCAAGTGGCCCTGGGTAAGGAGAAGGCAGGAAGAGAACAGTTTTTAATATATATACTGTTATATATTAGTCTGATACTAGTGATTATACACACAAAGTTGTATAATCACTAGTATCTACATCTAGGACATTTTAATCACCCCTAATAAACCTGGAAACCATTAGTAGTCCCCATAAGCAGCGGGTTACTGAATTCGTTGTCATTGTTTTGTTCTCTGCCTCTTCAGTGTTTTCAGTTTTTGCTTGCTTTCTGTACTTTGGAGGCTGTTATGTTAGGTGCATACATGTTTATAATTGTGACAACTTTTTGATGGGCTATTATTTTTAGTATAATTAATGTTTCCAGTAACAATTCTTATCTTAAAGTATGTTTTGTCTGATACTAGTATGACGCCCAGTTTGGTTTGCACAGTATATACCTTTCTGTTTACTTTCAACAAATTGTGTCTTTGAATCTAAACTGTATCTTTTATTAAAGGCATCATACAATTGGACTGTTTAGAAATACCCATTCTTTTACTCTGTTTTAATCATAGTAATTAATCTCTTTATACTTAATGGAAGTATTAATAAGTTAAGCTTTGTTTGGCACTGTACTAGTTGTCTGCACGCTATCCCTCTCTTGCTATCTTCTTTATTATTAAGTGGATAGATATTTATAAATTTCTGGAACCAGTCATTTTCCCAGTTTTTGATAAGGGGCATTGCGTTTGTGTTGGGACATCTTTTCAATGCTCAAATATGCAGTTTAAAACTCCATTGTAACTTTCATTTTCTGCTTGCCCAGAACCTCAAGATTAGCCAACAGTTTGAGCGTAGGAGCTGGCTCTGCCTCTCAGAGCACGTCCATGCCCCTGAGCGCGTGCACAGCCTGCCTGTGAGTATTTCCTCCCGGGGTACAAAGGATAGGCCACAGATTTCTTCATGATTGCAGCGGGTTTGGATTTTTGGTGTCCAGACTTAATGAGTGGCACGGAGGGGTGGTTTGAAGTTAATCAGTGTTGCAAGAATGCCCCACAGGTTGGGTTCTTTCCTTTGCCCAGTTACAGTCAGTCAGGCAGGGAGCCAAGCTTATCTTATAAGCAAAATACCTAATTACAGAGAGAAGTACCTTGCAAGGGGAGGGACCCTAACACAATGCAGACCAGTTTCACCCGACAAGGTGGGTGCAGGGGCAATGCATTCTTTCATGTGGCTCTGCCAGCCAAAGTCTCTCCCAGGACATGCCCTTTTCCTGCCTGGGCCGGGTGAGAAGGTGGGAAAGACACTGATAGGACCCCTGGGAATAACTGCTAACAGTATCCACTGTGGTAACCACCCTGCTGGGCAGAGCACTGAGAATGATGCAGGCTATTGCCAAAGACCTCAAGTTACAATGTTAACTGGGTGTGGATGTGATTGAGCCCATGCATGTTCGTTTGGGGAAATAACCCCAAAGCCTTTTGAACTTGAAAAATGACAGTAGAAGAATCAATCTTTTCCTTATCTGTCTCAAGAGAAGTTTTGAAAGAAAGATATGGCAATCTTCCAAAAAGTCTCCAGACTTGAAAAATGCCATAGATTTACCCTGACATGCATAGGTTTTGCCACGAGATGGCATCTCCTGGTAACAGCGACGCTTGCACTTAATATTTGCTTATTTGCTGATGAGAATTGACCGTGTGACTCTCCTTGGGGCCCTTAGTGGAGGCCCTGCTCTGTGATAGTTCCACTAGCGGTCTGTTTTGAGAGGGAATGAAGGGTGTATGTTTTAACCTTCGTCCCTTATAGGTGTGTAACTATTGATGGTAGCGAATAAAACACAAACATTGTAAAGACAATTCAGTATCTGTATGTTTTCTGGGATTTGCTTAAAACACTGACCTCCTAGTGGCTTAGAGTCTTTGAGAGCAACAGGTCATGGGGGCACAAAGAAGAAATTAATTCATAGAGCTTTTTGACCCAAACTCCATGATTGCATTTGTTAGTTCTTGCTACTGAAGTAGACTGTATGTGTGTGTGTTGTTGTTGCTTTCCGCCCCAGATCTGCCTTATGTCTGTCTGTTAAACTGCTGGAAGCCCTGACGCTGAGAATCAGTTTCCCTCTTTGCTAAGTCAGACGTGAAGAAAACACCCTCTCCGGCCGGAGTCCTGCCACAGCGTCTCCCATGTAAGGGGCCGCAGTAATAGTTCTTCATGACAAAGATAGAATGACAGAATTTACAAAACAATTTATTGAAAGGGTCTTGGAGTTGGCCTTATCTGAAGTTTCCAAGGCTACTTAAAAGATTTTGATTAAGAAACAATTTCAGAGAAATGAGTTCTTTGGTACCAAAATGAATCTTTGTATGCTTTAGAGATATCTGGCTAAAGCGATATAGATATCCACCAGTGATGTTGTGAGCCCACTTTGAACACTCCCAAACTCTGATTGAGATAGATCCCCTCTAATCAGTTCCTGAAATCAAGCCTTGCAGCTCTTTACACCCAATCATCCCATCGAGCCTGCTTGTTCTCCATTCCTAACTCATCCAACTGTGACCCCGAGTTCCCAAAGCAGCCAATCAAACAGCTGTACTATCACTTTTTTTTCATGAACTGTCTATATGGGAGAACGTTCTTGCTGGCGTCATCAGTCTTTACTCGTGGAGACTGGTATTTTCCCGCATCTGGATGTGATCATTTTTTTCTTTGAATACATTTTTTTTTTTTTGCAGATGATAAATTTTTGCAGACTAAGTTGATTGACCTATATAGGATTTTGGGGACTCGCCCAAGATTTCAAAAGCCGCTTCTTTAGACTAGACTTGTGGATTATGGACCAGAAATTTGGCAGTAAATTTGAAAAAAACCAAACCAAACCGAAAAACAACCCTTTAGTGCTGTCACTCCTTCTGGACTCTGCCAGTTGGAGGCAAGTGCTTTTCAAGAAGAACCTCCACTGCATCTGGATTTCCCTGAAGGTGAGGGTCTCTGCTCTCTGCTTCTGTCGCTGCTGTCGTTGTGGCGCAGCTTTGTCGGCCGCTCTCTTGTCTCTCCCTTCGCTGGGCGCCATTCGGGCTTATGTCTGTGTGTCACGTGCACAGTCGCGTGGCACGGGGACTCTCCCTTCGCTGGGCGCCATTCGGGCTTATGTCTGT